TGTGAGTTCAAGGCCAGCCTGGTCTACATAGTTCTAGGACAGCTGGGACTACAGAGAGACCCTGTCTCAAAAAGACAAAAAAAATTATCATTTTTTTCTTTTTCTCTTTCTTTCTTTCTTTCTTTCTTTCTTTCTTTCTTTCTTTCTTTCTTTTTTAACAGGGTCTCCCTGTAGCCACAGCAGGCTTGGAACTCGCTGTGTAGACCAGGCTGGCAACGATTTCACAGTTACCCACTTGCCTATGCCTCCTGAGGGCTGGGACTAAAGGTGTGTGTCATCACACTTGGCCTACTTACTGTTTTAAATTTCTTACTGCAGTTTATTAATTTGGTGTGTGTGGGGGCAGTGCACGTGCCACAGTGTTTGTGTGGAGGTCAGAGGAGAATTTGCAGGAGACAGTTCTCTCCTACTGTGTGGATCCCAGGGATTGAACCCAGGTCATCAGTCTTGGAGGCAAGTGCTTTTACCTGCTGAGTCATCTTCCTGGCCATCCTAAGTCATCCTCTTTCTCTTTTGCTTTTTTTTTTTTTTTTTTTTTTTTTTTTTTTTGAGGCAAGATCTCACTATGTAGCCCAGGTTGGCCTTGTACTCCTGATGCCCCTGCCTCATGCTTCTGAGTGTTGGCATTACAGGTGTGTACAGGTGTGCATCCCCATACCTGGCTAGATATATAGTTTTTCTTAGTTTTAGACTGTTGCTCTTGATTTTACATGCAACCTCCTGGAGCCTAGCACCTCAGGTCAGTGTGTTGAACACTCGCCCTCATGTGGGGACTGCGGTATCAGAACTAGATTCTCATCAAACCAGGAAGAGTGCCTAAGTGGTGCCCAGCCCAGGACATGCCTAGTGACTCCTCCCCGACAGCAACTGTCTTCCCCAGTTGAGAAAGTGAGGCTTACAGAGGTTTATTATTCTGTACGGGGCCGCACAGCAGAGAGTACTAAACTGGGGTGGGAACCTGGCTCAAGGGCCCCCTTTTGCATGTCCCTCCAACCTACTCAGTTCACTGGGGAGGGCTGTGATGATTGCTGTTACATCCCTGGAGCCCAGGAGCCCCTGGCCCCTTGCAGGCATTCCTGCAAACATGTTTGTTGAATGACTAACTGAGCCCCGGCAGGATCCCAAGCTTGAGATGTTTCAAGGCTAGTCTTGGAGCTTGAGGTTCTCTCCAGCAGGTCTCCATTGAAATGGCAGAGGGCCCGCCTGACTGTGGAAGCTGCCAGGTTTGCAAGCCGGTTCTGGGTGGTACTTCCTCTCCCAGATGCCCAGAAGTCAGCAACTGAGACTCAGCATGTCCCCAGGGGCTGTGTTCTCTGGACAATGCCAGGAAAGGAAACCAGACTCAAAGACACTCAGCGGGTGTTCCTGTCGCTGTTGGCTATAGGGATGTAAGGACTCTGGGACAGAGTGGTGGCCTTAACCTGGCCACTATGGGGGGGCAAGTTTAAGAGACTCCCCCAGGTCCGGAGTAAGCGTGTTCACGCTGTGTTGGCCATCACCTTCAAGTCTGTTAACAAACAACTTCATGGAGATACTATCCATGTGCGGCATGTTTTACCAGCCAAGTATGCAACAGGTCCATGGCTCTATTGTGTCATAGAGCTGTTGGATGGGTGTTGTGTTCGCTCTCAGAAAAAGAGAGCGCGAATCCACTGGCCTCTGCTTCAGATGCACACACACCCTTGTAGTCTTTGGTGACCATGAGTCTTTTTTATTTTTCATCCCTCTATTGTAAGGTGTGCATGTGGCGTTCAGAGGTCAACTTGCAGGCGTTGGTTCTTCCTTTTTACCACGTGGTTCTCAGGAATCAAACTCAGGTCATCAGGCTTGGCGGCAAGTGCCTTTACCCACTGAGTCCCTTGCCATCCAATGGATGCCCTGGGATGAAGGTTGGAGGAGTGCTATTGGGCTGCTGGCTTGTAACACTTCTCTAGGGAAGGGGAGGAGGATGCAGTGGTGGCCAGCTCCTCCCTGAAGTCCAATGAGATGCAGCACAGCTTCTCCTTGACGTTATGCATGATTTCCTGCTTAGCCATTGTAGTGAAGTTGGACCCTCGCTCCACCAGGATCTTTGCAAGGTGAGGTCTGTTAGGTCCTGGCCAGCCAGGTCCAGACACAGAATGGTGTTGGGGAAGGCACAGGATGGGTGACCCTGTAAGCTGAGTCCATCATGAATGTGGGGTGCACAGAGGTGTACGGAACAGCACTGCCCAGATGGCTGTGCACATGGCTGGGGCACTGAAGGTCTCCAACATGACCTGGGACAGCTTTTCACAGTTGGCCTTGGGGTTCAGGGGGGCCTTGGGGGGCACCTCAGAGGCCAAGCACAGCTCACTGTAGAAGGTGTGGTGCCACAGTCATGTCAGAAGCAATACTTCAGTGTCAGGATAAACCGCTTGCTCTGGCCCTCATTATCCATGTAAGAGTCCTTCTGGCCCATGGTCACCATCCCGCCATAGAGCCCAGGATAGGGGGAAGATGGCCTGGGTACCATCATGTGTGAAATGGGCTGTTGTCAACTAATGGTGTGCTTTCATCCATGCTGAGCCAGGTGGCCAGTGTGGACTTATGATGGAGAAGCTGCAAAGGATCTGTGCTTGCAGAGGAGGAAGGTGGCCCAGAGAGGTGAACTGTCCAGTGCACCACAGCTACCAGCAAATAGAAACGCATCCCGGGGAAGAAGGTGCGCACCTGAGGACAGGTGAGGTCCACAGAATAAAGGAACCGAGCTTCTCAGAAGCCGAGGCAGGAGGATGGCGAGCTCAAGGCCTACTTGGGTTAAGAGTGAGTTCCAGGCCAGCCTGGACAATTTAGGGAGACCCTGTTTCAAGATTAAAGTCAAGAGAGGGCTGGGATGTGGCTCAGTGGGAGAGCACTTGTGTAGCATGGATAAGGGAAGCCCTGGGTTTAATACCCAGTACTAGAGGGGAGAGGGAGTTGAGATACCATTGATAGAGACATTTATATTTCCAGTTATTCTTTCAGGTTGCATCTTTTTTCTTTTTAAAGGAAAATGAAGTTCCCTCCACCCTTTGAGGCCATTTTGGACCCATTCATGACTCTATGGGGAGTCGTTCCAAACTCACTTCTCTGCCTGAATACTCAAACAATGCTGAGGATGGGCATGGGTTTGGAAGCTATGGGCTTGGGCAACACACAGACTTGAGTTCAAATCCTGCCAGTACCATCCACTGACTTAACCCCTGGGTCTCAGGATAGCCAGCCTGTGGCAAGGCCTTCCTGTCTGTAGGACCATAGATAGACTGGACTTTCATGCCCACTGACTGTAGAAAAAGAAGTGTCACTTCATATCAGAGCACTCTGCACATAGTTACTTTCACCAAAGTTTAAGTTTGAGGGAGAATTGAGGTGCGACAAACATTCCCAGTCATCCCTTTTGGTTGTTCACCCACGGGAGGGGCTGTCGGTCAGAAAGTAAGGCTTAGGGGTGCACACCTGTAATCCTAGCACTTGTAAAGCTGAGGCAGGGGAATTGTGAGTCCCAGGCCAGCCAGGGCTGCATAGTAAGACGGTGACTCAGACAAGCAAAGCAACAATAAAACCCTAAAAATATAATACAAGTTGAAGTTTTTTAAAAAACATTAAACCATTTCCTGGATGTTTCTGAGGAACCAGCCCATGATTTTGGGTGGTTATGTCACCTTGAGTGGAGACCCTGTAGTGGAGACCCTGTAGTGACAGGTGCTAAGCATGGCAACAGAATTCAACAGAATTGAATTCATAGATCCTCCAGGTCAGTGGTTACCACGGGTCCCGTCCAAAGTTTACAGACTGATATTCCTAGGTTCAAAACTGTCACTGCAGCGACTCAGGAGTGGAACCGAGGTGCAGCGTGACAGCTCTGAAGTGGTTCTAAGGCTGGCTCCACAGATCTGTCAAAGACACAGGGATCAGAATGAAATCCATGAGGTGGGGGTGTGGCTCAGTGGGTAGAGTGCTTGCTTAGCATGCACAAAGCCCTGAGTTCCATCCGCAGCACCATAGGACTCAGTAGTACCCACCTGTCATCCCAACATGGGGGTGTTGGAGGCAGGAGGATCATGCTATCCTCTGCTAGGGAGTTTGAGGTTAGTCTAGGCTACATGAGACTGTATTTAAAAAGAAGGGTTGAAGAGAGAACTCAATAGCGAGGAGCAATTGCTATTCTTCCAGAGGACCTGGGTTCGGGTCCCAGCACTCACATTTTGGCTCACAACTGCCTGTTACTCCAGTTCCAGGGGAGCAGATACCCTCTTTTGGCCTCCACCAGCATCCCCCCCGCAATAAAAATACTAAAAATGTAAAAAGGACGGGTGTGGTGGCACACATCTTTAATCCCAGAACTTGGGAGGCAGGTGGATCTCTGTGAGATTGAGGCCAGCCTGGTCTACATAGTGAGGTCCAGGCCAGCTGGGGCTACAGGGGGACCCTTTCTAAAAACAAAACAAAATAAACAACAAATAAATATAAAGAAGAAAGAACTACTTCCTAAAGGACACATTCTTCTCATTTAAAGACCAAGATATCAATTTTCCTGTGTCTGGTTCTTTACAACAAACTTTTGGACCTGGCACTGTTTTGATATGTTTTACATATAGGTAAACTGAGGCTGGATGTGCCTAAGATAGGAAGAGGTGCTCTGACTTCATGTGAGAGCTCTATTCGTCCACACCGGGTACGTGACTAAAGAAGATAGCTATTAAACGCATGCATGACCTCTGTATGCAGTAGGCGCCGCATAAATGCTACCTTATTGGAGGAATTCTTGGTTTACCTGGCTAGTGGGAGGAGAGGCGTGGCTCCGTGCCGGGGCGTAGCGGGGCGCGCTCTCTCGGGGTGCCGGGGCGGGTCTGGACCTGCCGCAAGCCTGGGCGGCGCGGAGAGGGGGGCGGCCCCGCGGAGTCACGTGGCCCGACCCGGGCCAAAGCAGAAGTTGCGAGCCCGGCTGCGCAGGGCGTGCTCTGCGGGAGAGCCGGGCCCCTGGCGGCAGCGGCTGCAAGCCGGACCCCAGCTCCCAGACCTGCCGGCCCTGACATCGGGCGGTGGCTGCGCCCCGGGCGCACGGCCAGGTGAGTGGCCCGGCGGGACGCGGCGCCCGGGGACCTGCGCCGCTGCGGGGACCGGCGAGCTGGCACCGGGTGCGTGGGGTCTGCGGCCCGGCGCAGCCGCAGGGCAGGGACGCACCGTCGGGGCCGGTGCCCCCCGGGGAGCCCCACTTGGGGACAGCGGGGCCTGGCCCAGCCGCTGGCCACTTCCTCCCCTAGGCTGGCGTCAGCTTCCCCCGGGTGCTGGGGTGCGCGGAGTGTTGGCGTTTAAGGCTCCCTCGGGGTCGCCCCTGCCCGCTCCCTGGATCGTTATCCCCGGGACGACACCTCCCTGGGGCGCACAGGTGGCTCCGGGTGGGGGCGGGCAGCCCTTCCTCCTCGCACGGTTCGATTCCCGGCTCCCGCCCCACCCGCGAATGCGCCCAGCAACAAGTGCTCACGCCTGTGCGGTTCCTCGGCCGGTTTATGGCCCCCAGGTCGCCAAGAATCCCAGCGGAAGGAGGGCGGCGTTTGGACCCGGGAGGCTGAGGGCTGGGGCTGGCCCTTTCCTGTACCCTCATCTTGAGCTAGTGGGAGGCTGGTGGGGGTGAGGGGGCCACAAGCACGGGAAACAGGTGGCCTCGTCTGTGAGAGCTTAATTTGAATTTCAGTTCCATTTATGTGAGCCTGAGCGCGGCGAAGAACCCCTCCGAGTCCCGGTTTCTCCCTCTGGGCCCTGTCCCAGCCCCAAGCCTGCTTCTCAGGGCGCGGAAAGGGCACCCAGCAGTTCCTGACCCTGGGGATAGAGGCCTTGCAGGATGCTGGGGTCTCTGCGGGCCGCTTGTGAGCCACAGAGCTGCAGCCTCAGGGGATTCCGGTTACTAATTTGATCGATGCTTCAATTGCTCCTGATGGTGCTCCTGCTTGCCTGGCCTCTCAGCAGGCCGGGCAGAGTGTGGGGATCCTCTGGGGGAGCCGAAGCCCGGACCCCATGAGAAACTCCTTTGCGCCTCTTAGGTGGAGTTAGTGGGAACTTAGTGATGGGAAAACGCGTTGGGATACATTTAACTTTGTAAACAGTCAACCCTTTCCTCTCTCCCAAAGAAGGGCTTTGCTATTTAATATAAAGTGGACTGGTCCACCCTGCCTCCTCCCAACCTGCTCACAGTAACCCCTCTGCTGGACTTAAAAAGAGCCTGTGAGAAAATTTTCTCTCTCTCTCTCTCTCTCTCTCTCTCTCTCTCTCTCTGTGTATTACTATATGTATATAGTACTGTATGTACTATATATAATTACTATGTATACATAGTAATTATAACATTTATATACTGTAACTCATTGATTTGTAAATTTTTCTCTAATAGCTCATGAATCTTCCCAGATCAAATTGCTCATAAATTTTGTAAATTCCTTCCCATAGCTCCAATACATTCTTTTGTTGTTATTATTATTATTTTGAAACAGAGTCTCAGTATGTAGCCCCAGCTGACCTGGAACTCACTATGTAGACCAGGCCGACCTCCAACTCACAGAGATCCGCCAGCCTCTGCCTCCCAAGTGCTGAGATCACAGGTGAGCACCATCACGCCCAGCCTCTTTCTATTTTTTTTGAGATACAGTCTCACTATGTAGCTCAGGCTGGCCTTGAACTTTTGATCTCCCTATTTCCACCTCTCAAGTGCTGGGGTGGAAACGCCAGGCGTGGACCACCAACTCTGGGCCTGAGTATTCTTTAATGTGCTTTTCGATTTATTTAGGGACCTCCAACCCCAAGAGATGAGGAGTTGAAGTGTTTCCTGGTTTTCTTTATTTTTACAAACAATGGTTCCATGAGCATTTTTGGGTATGGTGCTGTACATTTATGCTTGCTGGATCAAAGCCTTTGCCTGTTTATACGTTAGCAAGATGCTTACGGCCGTCCTAAAATAACAAGTCAAACCCATTTCCTTTCCTACCTAAAATAAGTGCAGTTTGCTTGGTCCCTTTGATGAGGGTTGGGACTAAACATGAACGCAGTAGCCCTGGCATAGCAGGAACAGGTGCTGTTTAAGGACTCAGCTTGGCCAAATTCTAGCAGAATTGTGCCCTGGGGTTTTGGATGAAATCCTATACTGCCTGTTTCCTGGTTTGGGATTCTTGTGTCTCAGAAGTTGATTTCAAAGTGTGAGAGACACAGACATGTCAAAGGATGCCGTCTCTCATTAGTCCTCAGCCACGGTTGTACTGACTGCCTAAGTCAGCTGACCAGGTTACCCAAGGATGGGAGAAAGGGATTTCCAGGCTATTTTGTTATTTGGGAAAGGAAGAACAAAGTGTGCTGGCTGGGGGTGCTCAGGGGTCAAGATCAGTTGTATGTGCTGAAGGTTGAAACTCTGCCCCACCTGGGCGCTGCCCCGGGTGCCTCAACCCAGCACCTCAGTGCCAACTTCTGTTTCACGAAAGGTGCGCCTTCCTGGCTTGAGTTCCTTGCTTTTGTCTCGGAGGAGGGAGGCTTTCCTGGGGACTTGGCAGTGGGAACATTCACAGTGCCTGGCTGGACCAGAAGAGAGCTCTGGAATGGGGACCAGCTTCAAGTCCTGGTTCTTTGACTTTCTGGCTGCATGACCTTCGACAAGTCAACCCCTTATCTGCTCTTGAGAGGGCCGGGGTCAGCCAGTTTGGTTAATATGTGGCCAAATTCCATCAGAATTCTGAAAGTGGGCATTGACAGTTCCCATCTTTTGTGTGTGACCTTGATCCGGTAACTTCCTCCTTCCTAGACTTTGACTTTCAAGACCTTAGGTGTTTCTTTTTCTTCTCCCAGTGCTGGGGATGGAGCCCAGAACTCTGGGCAAGTGCTCTACCCCTGAGCTACATTCCTAGCTCTAGCCTGTAGGCATCAGTGAGGTGAAAGGGGTGAACAGGTGTGAGGTCTAGGAGGGCCCAGAAGAAAAGGCTTTGCAAGGAGACCAGCAACCTCTGTTTTGTCTTTCCAAACATGAGATAGGCTGGAAATCCCTCATTCCCATCCTCAGTGGGTAGCCTGGGCAACTAACTCATGGTGTCAGTTCGGGGGGGGGTCCTGTTAGGTTGCTCTGAGGCTAGAGCTCTGGGTGTACCTTGTGAGGCTCCCTCCTTGTTTTTGTTGACGCCTGGTCCATGGGAAAATTGTTCCTTTCCTTTTCCCGCGTCATCTTTTTGTGGTGGTTGTTGTTGAGATAGTTTCACTCTGTAGCGCAGGCTGGCCTCAAACTATTGCCTTCAGTCACCGTGCCTAGCTCTGCCTTTTTTTTTTTTTTTTTTTTTTAAAGAGGGTCTTATATACCCCAGGCCTTCCTTTAACTCACTATGTAGCTGAGGATGACCTTGAATTGCTGATCCTCTGGCTTCCACTTCCTGAGTGTTGAGGAATGTTGGGGTTACAGACCTGTGCCACGCCATGCCCCATTTACACAACACTGGGGATTGAACCCAGGACTTTGGGCACACATGACAAGCACTCTACCAACGGAGCCACAACTCCAGCTCCCTCATCTTTAGAAAGATTGGCATCTTCTTTTCCTGATTACTGTCTCTGACCCCTTGAGGACCACAGGCACACCCCTTACTAAATCCCGGCTCTTCTCAATGCTCCCTGGGCCCCCCATGTCCACGTGGAGCTGCACTTGACCCTGCATTGGGATTTTCACACATGCTTCCCAGGCAGTAGACGGGGAACAGGTGCACACAATGAGTTTTTCTCTGTGACATACATAGAGGAAGGAAGAGGCAAAGGTCAAGGCCTGGGCACTCCCTGCTCCCTGGTATTTGCATCCTGGTTCCTAGTGGGGGCCACACTCAGGTCAGCCTGTGCATCACCTGGCTGAGGGGCTGATCACTGTTAATCCAGGGCCTGCTGAATTCTGCTAGTTGTATATCAAGGCTTAGTCCCTCCACCCTACCCACACCCCAGAGCACGCTGTTCCCATTTCCAAGTGAGAGAGCCCAGAGTTGCTTTTTGGCTGGACGCTGAGCAGTTTGACAATCCTGGCTCACAGCCCATTTCTCACTCCCTGCTCTTTGGCCCAGGCTAGCTCTCAAGTGCTACTGAATACCAACTGTGGGGCTTAAAGGGACCTGGAGGAGGAGGCAAGGAGCTGAGGTTACCCAGTCCCATGGATGATGACAGTCAAAATCTAGAGCACCCTCTTTTTGCATCCTTTTGAGATAGGGTCTCATGTAGCCCAGGCTGGCCTCGAACTCACTATGTGGCTGTGGTTGACCTTGAACTTCTAATCCTCCTGCCTCCAGCTCTAGGGTGTTGGGATCACTGGCGTGGACTGCCACACCTGGTTCGCATCTTTGTGTGAAGGACCAGAGATGATAGGTTATTTTGTTTAGTACTTATGAAACTTTTACTAGGTAGGTACTGTTACCTTCTTTGCATGGCTGGAAAGGAGGCCCAGAGGTGCAGCTTGAGATCCAGTGGAGGCCTTTCCCTTTGAGTGCTGGCTCAGGGCTACAGTGTGAGGTATCTTTGCATAGTTGGGCTTGGAAAAGGAGTGAGGTACAGGGCAAGAGCCCCAAGAGCTGTGGGCTCTGAGCAGAGGAGAGATGAGATTCGTGTTCTAAAATACTATTATTGGCCACGGGGCTGAGAATCTTAGGGTTCAGGGCAGGAGCAGGGACCAGGGGCCAGGGTGGATGGAGCCTTGGAGAAGCCAGGGAGAGAGAGGGATGTGCTAGACTGGATTTGCTGATTGCTTGTGGGTATGAGAAAGTCCAGACAGACAGTTTTCCCGAGATTTCAGACCTGAGTACCTCCCTGTTAAGCACCAACCTCCTTCAGGAGTGCATAGCTCCTGGGACACTTGCTGGGTTCGTGGCATGCTGTAGGTGTCTGGTTCTCACTTGGGTTTCTGAACTGCTGGAAGTTTCCACCTTGAGAAAGGATGGAATGGGCGTGTAGAGGCCAGGCAGGCCCCCCCCCCCCACCGCAGCAGGAGGCCGGGCAGCCTCCCAAGCAGGAACCCATACCAGAACTTGACCTTGGGCTACCAAGGCTGGACGTTTTTTGGCCCTTTGGCCTTATCACCTCTCAGAGGGACCCTTTGCTCGGGTCTTTACACACACACACAGCCTGCAGTTCATTTCCTTCTTTCTTTTTTTTCTGTTCCTAAGTTTTGTAAAGAAATGGTTAGAAATCTCCTGCTGTAGCAGGATAAACTTGATTGCTGGGGAGGAGAGGTTGGGAGCCAGTTGGGGCTGCTTTGGTTATTCAAATTTGGAAGAGAAGAGAGGGGTCAGCCTCCAACATACGTGATTTGATTATCAAAGCTGGTGTAGCGGTCGGGTCATGAAGGTCGGTGGCCCCTCCCCCAGGTGGACTTTATTTAAACCTTTGCCTCTCACCTGGACTCTCTAAGTAGCCAGTGGCTCCCTGGCACTAGACTTTCTCCTATAACTCAGTCTGAAGGGCATGAGACAGGGTTTTGACTCCTGACTTTGACCTTCCATTCATTTATCTCACCTCAGTTCATCAACATCAATTCACTTCTTTATCCTGCCCCACTCCAGCCTCCATATTCCTCCTTTCTTCTTCCTGGAGTGGCCGACGATGACCACCATGGTCAACGTGGACAGCCTTCCTGAATTCGAGAAGAGTCAGATCAAGAGAGCCCTGGAGCTGGGGGCGGTCATGACTGTGTTCAGCTTCCGCAAGTCCACCCCGGAGCGGAGGACCGTGCAGGTGATCATGGAGACACGGCAGGTGGCTTGGAGCAAGACCGCGGACAGGATCGAGGGTTTCTGTGAGTACCTGCGGGACCAGGCAGTGAGGCCCATCTGCCCTGGCCACCAGGGTGGGACCTGTTCATCCTGCCTGTGGCTGTCACATTTGTCATGACAATGTTGGTTTAGGTCCATTCTTCTAAAATCGAAAGTGTTTCCACTTGGTGTGGGTCAGGGGTGAGGAGGTGGGGGTGAGGGTGTGGGGGAGGGGTGAGAACAGGAGGGGGAAGTCATCCAGGAAGGCTTTTGTGAAATGACAGTAACCTCAGTTGGCCAACCTGGTCATGACATTGACACAGTGGCTGGGTCATCTGGTTCCCATAGCCCTTCAAGCTGTCTGGCCTCCTGAGGGCTAAACTGGCTGGAACTTGGGGGATGCGGGGGCTGGTTGCTTGGAAGCCAAATGCCTGGTGATTTAATTTTTTTTTTTTTTTACTGCAAACCACAGCATGCTACAAGAGGCCTCTGCCTTGGTGTCTGAGTGCACAGAACACACCGCTGAGTGTTTTGTTGCTTTTAAATAAACTCTGGTCCTGGTGGCTGTGTTGGCCCCTGCTACCTCCTTTACACTGGGCTGTTAGTTTACCTACTGAAGTTTCTGAGGGGACTGTTGGTAGCAGACAGAACAGGGCATTTAAGCAATTTTCAGTTATAGAGATGCATTTCAATTTTATTTCTCACCAACTAGGGTGCATTTAAGTTTTTAGTGTGTGTGTGTGTGTGTGTGTGTGTGTGTGTGTGTATGTGTGGTGTGTGTGAGATGGCATGCACATGGAGGCCATAGGACAACTTATAAGAGTCAGTTCTTGATCCTTCTACGATGTGGGTCCCAGATATCAAACTCAGGTCATCAGGTTTGCCCTGAGCCGTCTTGACAGCCTCCTGAGTAGTTCTAATTGAAAAACTATAATGTACTTTAAATAGCAGCACTCAGGAGGCTGAGGCAGGAGTGTTGTGAGTTCAAGGGCAGCCTGGGCTATACAGTGAGTCCCTTACTAAAAATAAAGTACTAGGTTGGTGGCCGACTCAGCAGTTAAGAGCACTGGCTGCTTGTATAGAGAACCCAGGTTTGTTTTCCAGCACCCAGATGGCAACTAACAACTGTCCTTTAACTCCAGTTCCAGGGATTCTGACCCCCTCTTCTGGCCTCTTTGGGCATTGCACAACACGGGTGCACTTACACGCAGGCTAAAACACCCATACACGTAAAATAAATATTACAAAAATAAAAATAAAATACTCTTGGAAGTTGGGGTGTTGGCTGGTTACATGTCTTTTTCCCTGACCCCTCACCCATTCCCCCCACAAATTATTGTTTCCCTTCTAGAATTATCCCATGCTCAGGGAACAGTGCATTTTTATTTTTTATACAAATGGGAGCTACGACCCAGAACTTCTTACTTTCTTGGTCACCTAGGGCTGGCTCCTTATCAGTACACATTGATCTGCCTCTGGCTTTCACGGTATGGCCACAGTGTAACAGTTTAACCCAGTGTGGGTCATGCTGTGCTCTGCCTGGCATTCCTCACAGGCTACAGTGGCGGTCCTTTGCATTCCTCTAAATAGTCACTGTTTAGATGGGCATGGTGGGGCACTTTTAATCCCAGCGCTTGGGAAGCAGAGGTGGGTGGATCTCTGTGAGTTCATGGCCAGCCCGGTCTACATAGTGAGTTCCAGGACAGCTGGGGCTACAGGGAGGCCCTGTCTCAAAAAGACTGGGAAAAAAAAGTCACTGTTTTATTGAAACATAATCCTTGTACCTTCCTCACAGTTTATCATTTAAAGAGACAGGGCAGACCCAGGGTGGCGGCTCATGCCTGGAATCCCAGCAGTCTGGAAACTGAGGCAAGAGGTCCAGAGGATCAAGGGTTCAAAACCGTGCTGGGATGCAGAGCAGGAGCTGCCAAAAGAGGGGTAGAGTGGAGCACATGGCTCAGTTGCTTAACTGGCAAACTGCTTGCTGTTCAAACGTGAAGACCTGAGTTTGGATCCCTGTCACCCACATAAAAGCCGGGCATGGCAGCATGTGCCTGTAACCCCAGCATTTGGGAGGTGGAGATGGGAGGATCCTAGGGACTTGCTGGCAAGTGTAACGCCAATCAGTGAGAGAGACCCTGTCTCAAACAGGAAGGTGAGGAGCAGTAGTGGAAGACCCCAGTTCGACACTGGCCTCCACGTGCATGCCCACATACATGCACCTGCACACACACATATGCACACACATATACACACACTACATTTGCACATACACATGCACACACAATGCACACAATACACACACTTACATGCACACATGAACACACATGTACACATACATACGTTCATACACTTATACATGCACACATACACACATACACATACATGCACACACATGGAGACACATACACGCACACACAATACATACTCATACACACATGCACACATGTACATACATGCACATGCACATATACATGGGCACACATACACATACAAACATGCACACACATATACATGCACACATATACATGCACACACATACACATGCACACAATACATACATGCACACATGTGCATACATGTGCACACACAAATGCAGTGGCTTAGCACATTCACAATATATGTAAGTTTCACCTTGATCAGTTTGGGAACATTTTCTTTTTTAAAAAATATTTTATTATTTTTATTGTGTCATGCAATGACCGCAGAGGACAGAAGAGGCTGTTGGATCCCCTGGAACTGGAGTTACGGACAGTTGTTAGCTGCCATGTGGGTGCTGGGATTCGAACCCGGGTCTTCTGCAAGAACAGTCAGTGTTCTTAACTGCTGATCATCTCACCAGCCCCAATTTTGGAACATTTTCAAGCAGATCCTGCGTCCCCCTGACCCCCTCCCCTAACCCTAAAAAACCTCTCCTCTACTTTCTGCTTCTGTACATGCCCCTGTTGTGGCCATTTCGTAGAAGTTGAGTCCTATGGTGTGTGTGACCTTTCCAACTGGCTTCTTTCTCAACTTCTTGTTCAAGTTTATCCACTTCTTAGCTTGGAGCAGGATTTACTTCCTTTAGACAGCTGCATAATATTCCACATTTTCTTATTTGCTCATTTGTTAGCTTGGATTGTTCAGTGGTTTCCATCTTTTGTCTAATCTGAAGAGTGAGATTCTGAACGCTTGCGTACAGGTTTTTATGTGAATGCAGTTTTTATTTTTTGCCATATCCTAGGAGTGGAGTTCCTGGTCATGTGCTAACTGCACTGATTGTTTTAGGAACTGCTAGACTTTTCCGGAGGGGCTGCCTTGTTTTCATTCTGAAGCAGTGGACGAAGGCTGTCTTTACTTCCGTTCTGCACACACATGTGGGTGTCTGAAGGGAGGACAGCTCCCGAGGAGGCTAACTCCTGAGGTCAAGGGCACAGCGAGTTTTAACCCTATGGGGAACTTCGGCATCATCCCACCAAACAGGGGGCTCCGCTTTGCCCGTCAGCCACGATGTTTGTGAAGTCCGTCCCCATACCTTCAGCCACATTGTCAAAGGGTCTTGTACTGGGCCATGCACTGGTAGAGTTGAGTAATTTGGCAGAGGTCTTCATAAATTACTATAGGTGGCATGGTGGTGCACACCTTTAATCCCATCCCTTGGGAGGCAGGTGGATCTCTGTGAGTTCAAGCCCAGCCTCGTCTACATAGTGAGTTCCAGGACAGCTGGGGCTACAGAGAGACCCTGTTTCAAAAAAAAAAAATTATTATTATTTAGTGTGTGTGAGACAGTGAATGTATGTGCCACAGCATGTATGTGGAGGTCAGAGGACACCTTGGGATAGTTGGTTCTCTCCTTCTACCATGTGAGTTCTGGGGACATAACTCAGGTCTGTCAGGCTTGGTAGCAGGTGCCTTTACCTGCTGAGCCATCTTGCCAACCCTTAATGTGATTATTTTATTTTACTTTATTTATTTACTAGGCCAGCTAGGGCTACATAGTGAGACCCCGTCTCACAGAAAAACAAAAGCAGAAGACCCCAAAACAACATCAAAAACATCATTTGTGTGTGTGTGTATATATGTTGATACATGTGTGCACACGCAAGTGTATGTCACACATGTGGAGGCCAGAGGTTAACCTTGGGTGTTGGTCCTCTGGCCCTGTCCACTTCATTTTTTGAGACAGCATTTCTTATTGGCTTACTAGGAGCTCACCAAGTAGGCACGGCTGGCTGGCCATCGAGCCTCAGGGATCTGCCTGTTTACCTTCCCCAGTGCTGGGATTACAGGGACACACCACCACATATAACTCTTTTGTGTGGATTCTGGGGCCCTAACTCAGGACCTCATGCTTGCATGGGTAGTATTTTACCAGCTGAGTTATCTAGCCCTTTTTAAAATTAAAAAAAAAAAGTTTCTCAGTACTGGGGATTGAACCCAAGGTAGCCTTGCCATGCTAGGCCAGGGCTCTACCAGTGAGCTATAGCTTCTTTTTACTTTTAAAACTTTTTGAGGGGCTGGGGAGATGGCTCTGTAGTTAAAAGCACTGGCTGCTCTTGCAGAGGACCTGGATTCAGTTCTCAACACCTACATGGAGGCTAGCAACCATGTATAACTCCAGTTCCAGGGGATCCAGCGCCCCCTTCTGGCCTCCATGGGCATTGCACACAGGTGGTGTGTTTACATATAGGCAAAACACTCATACACATAAAATTTAAATAAATAAATTCATTTTAAAAACCTTCTTTAAAAAAATTTGTGACAGTTTCACTAAATGGCCTTGAACTCTCTTGAACTCTTGTGATCCTCCTGCCTCAGCCTCCTGAGTAGCTGGGACGATAAGCCTATGCCATCAGGCCAGGCTCTTTGATTTACCCATGAATGGGACTCAACAGCTTTCCCAAAGGTTTCTCCTGGCTTTAGGGCCAGCAGGTCTCGGGTGGCCCAGAGCCTGAAGTTCCCCCTCTAATGCCCTGCTACCATGGAGACAGCCAGCCTTCCCCAGTGTGATGGGATGGGAGCCTGCAGGGGGGACCAGCACTGATGGTGGGACAGGTGTTCCCCT